AAATAATAAAAGTAGATAGGTTCGCCTATCGTTCGATTTGCGCTCCTATCCCGTCTTTTTACCAGGAGAAGAGGTTTCTCCAGCTTTTCCGGTTTAGGATTGAGTTTCCGGTTCCTTTCAAAGAATTCTCATTCTTTTTTTTCACTTTTTAGCCCCTTGCCTCTTAGTAGCATTGTTGCCTGGCTTGGGGCGAATTGTTTAAAGATATATAGATGATTGTAGTTTGGATATTAGAAATAAAATATTTTGAACAGAGTTTTTACCGTTCCTTATCTTGTCACTTATTTTCAAATTGTTTCTCGCGTATCGAATGTCATGCATTTGCTCCAAGGCATTGACCATAAGTATTAAGAAGAACGTAAGCATTTCCTGTCTTCTGAAACTTGATTTGACTGCAATTCCCAGGAAGCGGTCGCTTTTCCCAGCAACTACAACGATTATTGGCCGAGATATCGATTGCGAGGAATAGATTTGGAGCGCATCACTAAACGTGGCCGACGGTTAGCGAAATCCAAGAAGTTATCATCCGATAGGGAGACATCATTTGATCCATGTCATCCGAACAAGATAACGTTTGGTACGTGAAAGCCAATGGGAATTCCGTCACTTAGTAACCCGAAGAAGACGACTGCGATCAAAACAACCGAATTTGTAAAGGTTATTTTGAAAATCCCTAGGAAGATACATAACTTTTTATAGCTTATTTATTGCGACAGAGAGTCTATGAAGATATCAAATACTTTCTTGACAAGCAGGAATATTCACAAAAAATATTTATCTATTGTCTATACTTCATTATTTATAGTCAAATATGATTCTAAAGTCAGTTCTTATTTTTATATTTTTTCTTAAAGGTCAAATAAATTAATTTTTGAGTTATGAGTTGCGCTAAAACAGTTCGTATAGTATAAATTTAGGATAAACTTATTTTCCCAACACGTAAGCTACAAATCTGCCAGTGGTTGGCATACCACTAGCGCTTACCGTTGGTGGCCGGCTGTCGAACCACATGCGTGTTCGTCTCGCCAGTATTACCACCGGTGGTTGCCACCAGAGGATCGCTGGACCATTAGAGGCCTACGTATAGAATTAGATTTCTTTGTAATGGTTTATCAGCCATTTGCAGGTTATTCAAAGCCAGAAATTATTATTATTAATATTTGTAAGATTTCTTTATAGATAATAATACTGTTTTTACTAAAAGAAGTTCTACAAATTACTTCATAGCGGGGTGGGGAGAAGCGATGTATTCATAGATTTCCTAAGAACATTTACGCGTAAGAGAATATAATGAACCCAAATGGAATTGAAAATCGGCTCCCCGATATTCAATTCCATATTTAAAGTATGCTATGTTTATGGTGTTAAAAATGTTGAATATTTGAGATAGAACATGTGTTAATAAGAATTTTTGGCATTCAGGGCAACAACGAGTGGCGACAGCCTGTTTCATTCATGACCATAATCCTCAGGCCTGAAAATCTGATTATTGCGTTGAAGCATAAAATACTTTATCGCCACTATATATATATATATATATATATATATATATATATATATATATATATATATATATATATATATATATATATATATATACATATACATGAGGAGACCTAACGGTCGAAAAAATAGGTATCGTCTAGCTTGAGTTTTGGTATTTCTGATTACATTTTGTTCTACAACTCAAATTTTGGGGAATTTTGAATTGGACGCTTCTTTGATTGCACATTTAAGCGTGATTGTTTATTGCCTACTTTTAGAATATACTTTTATATATTTTATATTGTATATATATATATATATATATATATATATATATATGTAACAAAATAAAGAAAATGAATTGAAGAAATAAAGTCTGAAGAGGGATGAATGATATGTTTGACTTGTGTATAAAAGAAAAGAAATTTCGGTCTTACCAAAAAGCTGTTGACAAAATGTCGGTACTTACCTGCAAAAAAAAGAAGATAGCAAATAATTAATGAAATTAATAAATAAAAGTAAAATATTAATACAATAACAAATATAAATAAATAAGTGAAGAAAATATACAAAACTTGTTTCAGTTAACAAAATACAATGCAATATCTTTAAAATAAAACATTTGCATTCAACATTAACGATCCGTGTATATTTTGATTTAATATATAATCATTAACTTAAGCTTATTCGGAATTTTTAACTTGCTATTCGGATATTCACAGACTCATTATAAAAGCTAATCAGAGTATTATGACAGCGAATAAGTTCGATAGAAAAGAGTACTGAAATGTTACGTAATATCAATCCTCCGAGATGGAAGTGAATGTTGAACAATCTCCTCACCGATGAAGAGGAGACTTGAAGCAACAGAAACAAAGAAAAGAGTTCTGAACTGTTACCTAATATTAGTCCTCCTATATGGCAGTGAATGCTGGACAATCTCTTCAGAGATGAAGAAGAGACTTGAGGCAACAGAAATGTGGTTTTACGGAAGGCTACTGATGATACCACGGGCCAAACATATGAACAACAACGCGGTTTTAGAGAAAATGGAAACAAAAAAAGAAACTTCAAGAAGAGATAGTTGAAATTCCTGGGGCGTATAATGAGGAAGTAGGGCTTGGAAAATCTGATACTCACGGGACATATTGAGCTACAAAGGACAGAAAATTGTGGAGAGCCATGATCGCCTACGTCATGAGGAAACAAAGTACATAAAGAAGAAGAAAGTCTCAAATGACCATGGTCATAGTTTACTTCTGCATAAAAGCATCCTAAATTTCTTATTCTCGTTTTATACCGGCTCCCGTAGCACCACCCTTGAAGCTTTACAGATGGATTGTATGTAGCAGCTCAACTTGAGGTCTGGGTTGAGCTTCAACTTGAGGTCTGGGTTGAGCTTAAGTCTTAATAGGCGTTCAACGCGCGGGCCCTCGTTGAACCCGTTCATTGCGATAGACGAAAATTCAGGTTGGACACCTGTAGTAACAGGCAATGAAAGAGGTGACACAGAAACATGAAGGCGTATTGGAAAAGCAAAAGTTGGTTTCAAAAAGCTAAAGAAAGTATTAAGAGATATGAAAATCTGTTTAGAAAGGAAAAAGAAAAAGGATGCTGAACTGAACAATCCTCCTATAAATCACTGAATGCTGGGCAATATCGAGTTTGTGTGAATAGACGGCCAAGCGGGGACAACGAGAAGTGCTAGAAGGATTAGGAGGTTTTGGAGAGTTATGATCGCCCACTTGCTGAAGGGAGACGCCTTATAAAAGAAGCAGAGTTCCGCGTTATTTTGAAAATAATTCAGACAGCTTTCAATTTTGATTCTTGCAGTAACTTGTTGAAAGAGAGTTTTCTGAAATACAACTTTTAGAACAAGAAATCTATGAGGAATTTATTATGAGATCAAAGAGTAATATATATATATATATATCCGCTTAGGTGAAACCTGGGTAGGTTTGTCTGGCTCATTAGGTTTGACTAGGTCTGCTCTACGGTTGTATTGAACTCTTTTTAGTTAGTTGTTTACTCGTGTCGGGGATTTTTTTCTTTCGGCTTTAAACCTTTATCTGTGCGATTTTTTTCGACAGACTTTCATGTTTCTAGCTCTTTCTTTTTTAAAACCTTTTTTTTCCTTCGAGATTGATTTGATTATTGGCAAATCAGAAATTCGAAGGTTTTTCGAGACGAGTATAATTACCTATATATATATATATATATATATATATATATATATATATATATATATAAATAAAAAGAAAGAACAGTAAGATATAAAATCCGGTGTTCTTATAGATATTTTTATTTTTACAAAATAGTGCTCAATGTAAATTTACAGAGCATTAATATTATAAATTAATTGATTTAAAATATGGTTTTTTTCGCTACACAGTTCAACAATGTTTCAAAAATAGAAGCTAAAACCCCGAATTTAATTTTGCAATTAAATTAAAAAAGCATTAGTTCCATTTCATCTTCAAGCGAATTTTGGAACTAAAATTACCGGGTTTTAAAGACACAGCTAAAAATCACGTTTCCATGGTTACAGAATATTCTACTTAAATTGAACAAGGGATGTCTAGTTTTTCCTTATGTCAGTATCATTGTATCAGTTATTAGCTACAATTTGAAACATGGTTGGAACTGTGTAGCGAAAAAAAAAACATATTTTAAATCAATTAATTTATAATATATATATATATATATATATATATATATATATATATATATACACAAATGATTATCAGTCCGTTTAAGGACACAGAGCCACTCGGAATGTTATAGAACCAGAGGTGCAGTTTCTGGGGATATGTAGGGAAGATAAGGGCAGACCCTAGACTTGAACATGTTAAGATAGAAGTGATCGTGAAAGAATTCATTGTAGAGTTGGTTCCACAAATTAGCGTTTTTTTTTCAATGTATTTTCTACTGGCAAATTGCCGCTTTGTGACTTTTCCAGCGTCCTGAAATAATGAATGACATTCAAAAAGAAAAGCACGACTTGTCGACGCTCTGTCGAATTTTCTCACAAGGACCTGCGCATTAAGTACATTTTATGCTTGCGAAAAGCGTATGACCAACGCTGGTACTAATGGAATCGATAAGCCCACATATATATTACTGATTTTGTTTTACTTCCTTTACACACACACACGCATACACACACACATATATATATTTGTTTTAATTCATCAATTTCTCCTTTATTTTTTCTTTCTATAATGCTTAGTTTCTTTGTTTGTTTTCCATTCTTAGTCTGCTTGTATATTTCTGTGACATAGAATCAATACCAAAAGATCTATAGGTTCTAATATTTATTATTGACGAACATAATGTTAACAACATGACACTATGTCCATAGTTTACCCAGGAAAAAATGTGAACGAATTAGAAAAGTAAGTAAAAGAAATGGAATGCAAAGAAGAATAACTGTAAGAAAACAGAATATATAGTTTTCAGCCAAGGAGTTGAATTTGTAATGTAAGCGGTGTCTTCTTGACGGTGATCCAAAAGGAATGTTCCTAAGTGATCGCATCTATTCGTCTCTCTTCGCTACAGGATCCCTACTTCTATACCCACAAGGCGTATGAATTGTGGTCACTTGTCGGGACGAACAATCACGTGTCGGTCTTCGTATTTGCAGGGATAATGATCTAGGCGGTCGGGATACCCCTGTACTACGCCGTAGACCCTGATTTTTTGCGGTTGTGCGTCGCTATTACACTTTCGCATCCCCAGTACGCCATTTTTTTTTTTCCGTGACATTGGATACAGTTCCGTTGTAATTTGATGCCAGAAGCTGAAAAAAAGGCATATCGCCAAACCTTTGAGACCATATAAATTCCGCCAGGTATTCAGCAATCGTCCCCCTGTTTGTGGGTCCATTCATGGTGTTAAATTTAGCCTGGGTACGCTGTCACATTGCTTCAACTCGATTCGTGATGACGCCAGTGTTGGGATCCACAAAGTTCTGAGTGTGGTTGACAGTGTCATGGTTGAACCCATTGTTTATCAAACCATTGTATGGGGCCCACATATCAGTCCAGATTGTCGCACCCGGGGCAACCCATTACTGAATGACAGGAAGCAACGGGTGTAATAGCGCCGATTGTGGGTTAGCTGTCGGTTATTTCCATATGCTCCACAGGGCCTTCGTCGCATTCCCTCTCGTCTATTTCCGGGGTTGGGTATGATGATTCATCATCGATGGGTAGACTTCGCTGAGACGGTTGTGATGTCTGGTAGTCTGGCATATCTACGACCGGGACTATCTTCCAGAGGAATCGAGGGTTGCGCAATGTTACTCGGTTGCTACCGTCCATGCACTCTCGGTACTGCTTATTGCCCAATGTTTCCACAACCCTCCCATCGTCGTGGATATTGCCCAAACTGATCCTGCCCGAAGCGTCATGTAGCATCAGCGTTGTCTTATTGACGGTGGTCCAAAAAGGAATATATTTATTGCACAAATGTACAAATGTGGCACAAGGCCTAAAATCGGGAAGGGGAAGGCTGGTCTTCACTTGTTTTAAAATTAAACTTAGCTAGCCACAAATACTGGCCCCAGACATGCTACAATAACCCTTGCATCAAAACGCCACATTCTTATCCTACTACAACCACCACAATTCCGCGGAGTCTCTATGAAGTCCTAACTAGACTACATATGTACAATTTTTGTCTGTGATGTGGATAGAAAAACAATATTTAAAAATTTATAAAATCCCCAATGGTAGTCCAAAAGGAATATTCATAAGTGCCGCTTGGCCGGTACATATATTGTTTTTCCTTCACCGGCTTTCTTACCGGTGATCACTTCTACTCGTCCCGTCTTTTCGGTGGGCCTCTCTTCCCTACAGAATTGAGGACGTAAGTATCAGGTAGGTACACTCTTGGTAGCTGTCGAAAAAAGACGGTGGAAAAATGACACAAAAACCCGAAGGCGGATTGCAAAAATCGAAAAGATGTCTTCCACATGATGAACAAAGTATTGAGATAAAGAAAAATATCCGTAGAAACAAAGGAAATACTGCCAAACTGCGATGTCATTTTCAGTTTTCTGACTGTTCACTCGTCCTGAAATATTGAATGACATCCAGAACAGACCACGACTTGTCGACGCTCTATCGAATTTTCTAACAAGGACATGCGCATTAGGTACATTTTATGCTCGCGAAAAGCTTGTGGCTAACTCAGATACTAATGGAAGCAATAAGTCGTCATGTATATTGCTGATTTTGTTTTGTTTCATTTTTATATTTATTCAGATCTTTCATTTTTCTTTCTTTCTTTCTTTCTTTCTTTCTTTCTCATTCAGATCTTTCATTTCTCTTTTTTTCTCATTCAGATCTTTCATTTTTCTTTCTTTTCTCTTTTTTTCTTTCTTTCTCATTCAGATCTTTCATTTTCTTCCTTTCTTTCTCATTCAGATCTTTCATTTTTCTTTCTTTTCTCTTTTCTTTCTTTCTTTCTTTCTTTCTTTCTAAGATCTTTCATTTTTCTTTCTTTTCTCTTTCTTTCTTTCTCATTCAGATCTTTCATTTTCTTTCTTTCTTTCTCATTCAGATCTTTCATTTTTTCTTCTTTCTTTTTTCTTTCTTTCTTTCTCAATGAGATCTTTCATTTTTCTTTCTTTCTTTCTCATTCAGATCTTTCATTTACTTTCTTTCTTTTCCCTATCTTTCTTTCTTTCTCATTCAGAGTGTTCATTTTCTTTCTTTCTTTTCCCTATCTTTCTTTCTTTCTTTCTCATTCAGAGCGTTCATTTTTCTTTCTTTCTTTATTTCTATGTTTCTTTCTTTCTCATTCAGATCTTTCATTTTTCTTTCTTTCTTTCTTTCTTTCTTTCTGTGTTGCTTGCTTTCTCATTCCAAGTATGCTTATATATTTCTATGTATCCGCATCGATTCTAAAAGTATTATACGAGATTTGTCTGAAAAGTAACTGGACTGGTGTCACAAATAATTTATTTTAATTCCAAACAACAAACTACATGGTATTCCCTCGGGTCTAATTTACTTTTCCTTCCTTCTCCGTCACGCTGCTACGGACTGCTGGAAAGATTCTTCTTGGATGTCCCTCAGCTCCGTCGTTACCGCCCACTTGAGAGTTTCCACGCCTTCGCAACGTATCCCCTTGATGATCCCTTTAAGCTTTGGGAAAAATAAGTCACACGGATCGAGATCAGGTGAATAGGCAGGTTGCTCCGGTAATGTGATGTTCGTCTTGGACAGAAACTGTCGGATGTTCAAGATGTTGTGAGCAGGTGCATTGTCGTGGTGAAGCAGCTACGATTTGACCTGTCACAACTCTCGTCTCTTCTCGCGCACTGAGCGAATAAAACGCCATTGGATCTCTTTCTAGACTTGCTGATTGATCGTCAAACCCTGTGGCAAGAAATGCCTGTGGACAATGAAATCCAGTTACTTTTCAGACATACCTCTATTTTTTTTTCAATAGGAATCACCCCAAGTAATAAATTAATACCACTAAAACAAAGGGTTACATGTTGTGGAAGTGTTAGGAACAGAAGCATTAATAATGATCAGAAAGAGAAAAGAGTAAATAGGAGAACAGCAGATAGCGATTGACATTGCAATTAAATCTTTGCAGATTAAAATTAGCCGGAAAGCATTGTGCTGGAAGGGAGTTCCACAAGCAAGAATTACGAGAGAAGAAACTGTTAACATAGAACTTCCGGCCACATCTATCCAGCTCAACTGTAAATTGTTGAGATCTCGACGCCAATATACTACTTTGCTTAAATTGATAGAGTGATATTTATTTCTGCTATGTGCCAAAATGGGGAATGCTGAAAAGGAGGGTCTTCATCTGTCTTAACATTAAACTTAGCTAGCCACAAACACTGGCCCAAACATACTACAATATACCTAACACCAAAACAACGCATTCTTACTTAACTTTCTTACAACATTCACCATAATACCTCATTGTCTCTATGGAAGTCCTAACAGTCCCCCTATGTTTCAGGTCTGTGGAGGGAGGGGATTAAAACAATTTAAAAACTAGCCCCAATTATTTACAATATGAAAACAAAAATATTTATAAGAAACTAAAGAAAATAATGTTAGTAATAAAAAAAATCTCACAATCTCTAAATGTGGCAGAAACATCAGTTAACTGGACGAAATTAATGCGGGACTTTTAACAATATAAATCAGTCATTCATCCCAAGCACTCACTCAAACACACACTAATTTAGACACAACAACGAATACGAATATCACACAAGAAACGAAAGACACCCCGCATCTACCAGAGAACTGACATCACAGGCCACCTAAAACAATGAAGGATTGGGGAATTAAACTAAAGAAGAATGGGGACAGAAATAAAAGATTCTAATGAACATAAATCCCATAAGTTAACTGGAATGAAGGAACTAAAGAGACAAAAACAACAAACCTAAACTAGCCAAAATTCTACTATAGCAAAGAGTGATATTTATTTCCGCTTGAAATACAGTAAATGTGGCACAAGGCCAACAATAGGGAATGAGGGAAAAGACGGTCGTCTTCTGTCTTAACTTTAATCTTAGCTAGCCACAAACAATGACCCAAACATACCACAATATTCCTAACACCAAAACAACGCATTCTTACTACATTCACCATAATACCTCTTTGTCTCTATGGAAATCCTAACTAGTCCCCATATGTACAATTCATTTTATGTGGGGGGGGGAAATAAAACACCAATTTAAAAATTAGTGCCAATGAGTATTTGCAATATGAATACAAATCTATTTACAAGAAACTAAACAAAATGATGTACTATAACAAAGAGATTATCCGAACAATTGCCATAAATGTATTTATAGAAAAGACAAAGAGAGGCAGCCTTTCGGTGGTTGGAAAATGACTGGAGCTGAGCCGGCAGATCAGGACTTTAGATTTTATCAAGGTGCTCAAGGTAAATAGCAGAATCCCTGGACCATATGTGGCAGCAATCTTCTCCTCCTAATATTTATTATCAGTGAACAAAATATTAACATGACGCTGTCTTCATAGTACACTCAGAAAATGTAGAAAACTAGGTAACAAGAAAGCAAAAAACAAAAACTATTATCTATAAGAAGACTGAATGAATAATTTTCAGCAAGGGCGACAGTAAAAAGGCAGGTGCTACAAATTGAAGACGTCAGTATCAAATAGATACACAGATTTAACTCTCTGAATAGTAACGGACGAAGTCACATTGCAAGAGCTAAACAAAATAATAAGCAATAGAAAAATATCCTTAGAAACAAAGGAAAAACTACCGAAATGCTATATACTGCAATTTTCTGACTTTTCAAGCGTTCTGAAATAATGGATGACATTCAAAAAGGAGCACGACCTGTCGAATTTTCTAACAAGGTCCTGCGCATTATACTTGCAAAATGTTTTCTCTGCATTTCTTGTGAAATGAACACTTAGTATGGCAAACTCTGACACTAATGGAAGCAATAAGCCCGTATAGATATTATATATTTTCTTTGCTTCATCAATATATATTCCTGTTGTAACAGCAAAATTGTCCAAATCGTGTAATAGCAAAATTGTCCAGTTGTTAGATTAGCCGTTGTCTCTTAGAAATGTTTAAAGATATCTGACTGGAATTCTCCGATATTTTTATAACACTATTGCGCCCTCCTTAAAACAATAAGAATGCACTTATGTCTAAATTGAAATGATGATCCCTCTTCCTGTTGTGACCTCCTGATCTAATTTTCTTCTCTTCTGTTCCCTCTTTTTTTTTTAAAGTATTCCCCGTTCTTTTGATGGTTCTTGAATGGACTTTGAAGATAGAAGCCAAACTATGAATGGCTTCATACTGAAAACTATTACTGAAAACCTGAATGATCTTTTTCCTCTCAGCATTGCTCAGTTGAGAAAACAGTAGGACTGACAGAAAATGATCTTGTTCTCTTTCTAGCTGAATAACGAGTTTTTCAGTGATTCTTACGAAAAATGTTATCAAGATGGTTATTTGTATTATCTGAAAACCTGGAAAAAGAAAAGCATGTATAATACACATTTTTTTCTACAAAAATGATAAGCAAAATTAGGGGTGCGTATTATGCACAGCTACGAAAAAATCTTTAAAAAATTGCCGTTTCATATGACGATTTCAGTTGCGAAATAACGACTCACCACAAACATACAACAATTTGACACTAACATTCGGCGATCGCGACTCCATAGGGATGGAAAATACAATCATATGTACCTAACAATACTGATAAATATAAATAAAATAAGAATTATCATAAAAACTAAATTAGAATAATGATATGCTATGTTTAAAACCATTTTTTTAAATAAGAGTAGGAAACGCTGGCCGTAATGAAATTGGTGAGGTGCAATTTATAGGGTTTTATCCCCAACAAAGGTTGCGTATTATACGTGAGTAGAAACATTTTTCCACCCTTTCAGCACAAATTTTAGGGGGGTATTATAGATAAACGCGTAATATACATGGGGAATTACGGTAGTTTAGTGTTACTTTTTAGATATTATACAATTTGTAGGATGGACAATTATGCTGTTACACGATTTCCACAATTTTGCTGTTACACCCGATATATATATATATATATATATATATATATATATATATATATATATATTTTTTCATTAAGTGATTTCTCATATTCAGTCATTTCTGTTCTCTGATTTCGTTCGCCATCTTAGCTTTTATATTTCTGTGTGCCTGGTCGTTTATCGGTACGTGTGGGCATCGCTTTCTATCTCAAGTCTTTAGCGGAATCACGTGGGACTGACAGTAAAAGATAGAAGAGGAGAGAGTTTGGAGCAAAATGGTGCTTGAGCTGTTTGCCCCTGTGTACAAAATGCATGTTTCTTATCGCCAACATTTGATAAGTTTGGATCGTGACAGGAAGACATAGACACGGAAGTATAACTGATGGATTTTGGGAGGGAAAATCGAACTAGTAGGGAGGTGATGGGAGCTGGCAATTCCCAGACATGGAATATTTCAAACGAAGCTGATTCAACAAAATGGAAGAACTGACAATATGGAAGAGTTAGAAATAAAGAGAGAAAGAAAAAGAGAAAAAATAAAAGAAAGAGAAGAAAGATGGAGAGGGATCAAAAGAGAAGAAATAGATAAAGAAAGAACAAAGATAGAAATAAAGAGAGAAGGAAAGAAAAAGAGAAAGAAAGAAAGAAAGAAAGAAAGAAAGAAGCAAAGAGAGAGAAAAATAAAGAAAATAAACGACAGAAAGAGAAAAAGAAAGAATAACAGAAAGAAAGAAAGAGAAAAGGGAAGAAAGAAAAGAAAGACACAAAGAGAAAGAAAAAGAAAAAAAGAGAGAAAGTAGAGAATAAGAGAGAAAGAAAAAAGATAGAAAGAAAGAGAAAGAAAACGGATAGAAAAAAGAAAGAAAGAAAAAAGAAAGAAAGAAAAAAGAAAGAAAGAATGAAGGAATGAAGGAAAGAAAGAAAGAAAGAAAGAATGAAGGAATGAAGGAAAGAAAGAAAGAAAGAAAGAGAGAAAAAGATTTGAGAAGAATATTAATGAAAATAAGAAAAGAAAATAGAAAAAATTGGAAAAAAAGCCCAAAAAAGTATAAGAAAAAGAAGAAGAAGAATAATTTAAGGGTTGAGAAAAATGAAAAACGAGAAATTAAAAAAAAAATTCCGTTAAAAGGAAAGAGGGAAAAAATAAGAATCAAAAGACAACACCAATAAAAAAAAAGATAAAAACAAAATCTAAAAACAACGGGAAGATAAACAAAAAAGATACAAGCTTTGAGGACTAGAAACTCTTTTACTAATAATGATTTTTTTTTTTTTAGCCATTTCACTCCAAGAAAAGCAATAAAGCCAAGAAAGTGGAAGTAGGTTATTCAGTATGAAGGAATATGTAAAAACAAAAAGAGCATTATTAAAGAAAGAACTGGAATTAAGAAAACAACTGATATTGCATATAAATTTTCGAAGAGAAAAGTTGACCGGAAAGCAAGAAGCTGCAAGAGAGTTCCACAAAAGTGTTAGAGAAGAAACTGTAAACATACGGTTAAATCTAAACCTGTAAAATGATGAGACCTTGCTACCTGAATTTGAACCTGACTTACCAATTCTGCATCCACACTTGGATAACCATCACGCAATTCGCAAATTCGTTTTTTTTTGTAAGCAAAAATGAATGACTTTAGCTTTCTTAAATATACTTTCCAGCCAAGCCGGCTCTTTTATTAATGACTTCACCCTCAAACAAGGCAATAAAGCAACTAAGATGTAAGAGCTAATTGAGTGTGATAGAATATGAGAAAAAGAAAACATTATTAAAATGCAAAAAGAATAAAAGAACAGGAATTAAGAAAACAGACGCTAACGATTGATATTGAATTTCAACTTTTGAAGCTCGAAATTGACTTGAAAGCCAGAAACCAGGAAAAGATTTTTACAAGCGAAAAGTGCGAGAGAAGAAACTGTTAGCATAGAACCTACGGTTACATGTAACTCTTTTAACTGTAAAATGATGACACCTTGCCGCTAATCTAGTACTGAACTTAAATTCATGATGTATAGATACCATTAATGAAAATTCATCAGAACAATGACCAGGAAATTATTTATAGAAGGGTACAAGGAAGCCATGTTTAGGCGGTAGGAAAATGACTGAAGCCAAGATGCCATAATAATAAAAAAAATAAAAAATAAAAAAAAGCAAAAAGAATCAAGAGAATCCAAACAAAATTGGCGAATCGGATAAAGACAATAAAAAGAAAAACGATTAAAACAGTAATGTCATTCATTAGCAATGGAGGGTAATTGCATAACTGCTTCCGGTTCAGTTTTGCCTTCCGGGGCTCCTTGCGTTATTGTGTTTGTAAACAAACCACCATTTGCAGCGGTTTGCTCAGAAATATGATTCAAGAATAAAAGAAAACTTCCGGCGCGTTCAAATAAAATCGAAACCGTTTTCTCCGTTTCTCGATTTTATTTCTATGATTATTTGCTTGCCCATTTCCGCCAATCAATCGTTTTCTTTTGATTGGCTCTCAGCTGTTTTTTTAATGAGTTATTAAACGAAAGCAGAAAAAAAAAATAAAAGAACCGCAGTAAATTGCGTGCGTATTTTTAACCAATGAGATAATTTTCCCTGCCAAACTGCGGCTCCGCAGGAAACAAACAGAATCAAAAACAAAATAAAAAAAATCAAAAATTAATTTTTATTGCGTCAAAGGAAAACTGACAATTTTCATCGTTATTAAACTACTTATTAATTACTGTACCAAAATAGAAGGAACATCAGTGAAACCTGAATCCTTGGTCGATAAAAAGAAAATTATAATTTGAAGATGACTTATAAGCAACTAGCGAATATTACTGGACATTACTGAAAGGCAACGAAACCGTTAGAATAGATTAAAAAGATGAAATTTATTTTGTTTTTAATTTCTGATAGTGAAGAATATGTGCGTAGCGTAGAGTTTATTATCAAGGAACATAGTATCGACGTGCCGAGTGCCTTGACTTCACTGCAGCAAAAATAAATTCTTCGGTCTAGATCTTAGATTAAACAGCCGAGAAGACTAGATTTGGCTGGCAACCGGTGTAGGAAAAAGAATACAAAACTGTTACGTTTGAGGATTGCATCTCCACTCCACCCATTAAAAACCTTCCTGCAAAAGCCAACAGCGCAAAAAACACCTCATTTGATAAGAGCATCTCTCTTGTGCAGATCTTTCGAAGCCCATATCGGCTAACATTTTCTTATCCGAAACATAAACAGAATAATTTCTATGGAATTAATGGATACTTATTTTTTAAATAGGGTAACTTTGTTTGACGGCGAAAGTCTTCCTCGGGTTTAACGATTATTTTCTCCTCCAAGGGCAACGAACGTTCGAACCCTGTCAGAAGTAACATTTCCTTTATTAAAACGCTCGAATACACATGCGGGTAGACGTAGGTTAACACTGTTGAAAAAACAAGGTTTTCTACTCAGTGTATCCATAAAATATAATGCTTAAAAAATAATAATAATAATATATATATATATATATATATATATATATATATATATATATATATATATATATATATGTATATATATATATATACTCGATTCTCGCGTCGAATTCGACGTATGAGGGACAAACAGATCAGTTCCCAGAAACCGACAGCCCGACACCGGCACATGAGATTTGATTATAGTGGTGAAGGTTTCGTTGCAGGACCATCCACACTTTTGAAGGGACGAATACGGAGACCTGGTGCACCAGATGCCACAAGGTTCCCAAACGACCCTCCGCAGGTTTGAACTCAGAGTTGTCCTTCTCTCTAGACCAGTTGCCATCCAAGGCTATAGAACCCAGTCTGTCCTGCTATATATATATATATATATATATATATATATAATTTAAATAAAAAACACGCTTTAGGTTCCATGTAATAAATTATTTCACCACAGCCCTTTTAAAAAGAACTGCGGCTCATTAGACTTTACTTTTTTTGTTTGGAAGTAAAGTCTGATGATCCGCAGTCTTTTTAAAAGGGCTGTGGTGAAATAATTTATTACATGGAACCTTAAAGTAGTCTGTTTTTATTTAAATTATTTGCTCTGGATTTACATTGAGCTCTTTGATTTTTATCCTCCTTAGGTTTATCCATACGGATTACCTTTTTCATAAACTAACTAACTAACTAACTATATATATATATATATATATATATATATATATATATATATATATATATATATATATATATATGTTAATGGTCAGAGTTGAATCAGACCAAGAAAAAAAAACAATAATATTAAAAAGTGTGAAAAAATATAATAAAGGTAAAAATAACATTATTTACATTATTTGGATTATTGTCCTCATCTTTGTTGCCATATTTATTACAACGTTTCGGCATTTTGATTTTAAGATAAATAAATAAATGAACGCTACATTGTTTTTTTTCACAAAATAAATAAACAAACGCACGACATTGGATATAATAGAAAGGGGGAATAATAATAATAATAATAATAATAATAATAATAATAATAATAATAATAATAATAATATTGTAAATGTATCGGTGTGGGGTTGAAATATATATTGCATTTTTTTATGCAGTCTAATTTGTGCTTAAGAGGAATTTTCAAAGATGTAAGCAAGGACTTTATTTTAAGAACTTTATTTAAAAGTTTCTTTGGATCCGGAAATGTCATAATTGTTAATTTTTCTTGATGATAGAGGTTAAAAATATTAAAGTTAAAAACTCTTTCTGTTATTTTTACTTTTATTATATTTTTCCATTTTTCGCACGTGTATTCAGCACATTTAATACTACTGTTTCTTGGTCTGATTCAACTCTGATATATATATATATATATATATATATATATATATATATATATATATATATATATATATAAATAAAAAAAATGACAAATATATAAAACACCAGCTTATTTGATTCGAAACTATACTGATGGTTGGTCATACAAACTATTTACCTACAATCTACTGTGTTTCTCCCTACTTAAAATAAATCCTTGATATTTAGTGATGTGATTCGTCAATATTAACGTCTTCAGGATATTCCATATTAGTTCGATTCAATGACTCCTTTGAAACGTTGCCAATTCAGGAGAGTGCACAAATCCTCATTAAGTTACATAATTAACATATTGGTTCATAGATAAATCGATAATATTTGCATAGATTAATGAATGGAGATAGAAAACAGTTTTGATGGCCATGTAAACAAGTAGTGTTTACTTGTATCAAATCCTTATAAACAACGATGCCAT